ATAAGTCCGGAATAGTAGATGCTAAGAATATCAATTTTAATTTCCTATTTTTTATTTCATTTTATTTTTTTTTATCCTCACCCGAGGACATTCTTCCATTTTTTTGTTCAGATAGAGTGGGAGGGGGAGAGAGGAAGAGAGAGAGAGAGAGAGAGAAACGTCAACGTGAAAGAGACACATCAAGTGGCTGCCACCTACACGACCAACCAGGGTCGGGGACAAACTGCAACCCAGGTACATGCCCTTAGCGGGAACCGAACCCGGGTCTCTCGGGACCACAGACCAACGCTCTAACCTCTGAGCCAAACCGGCCAGGGCTTAATTTCCTATTTTTAAGACCTGTATCGTGATTACGTAGATCTTTTCTTGTAGAAAACACAACGTAAAGTATGGGGGTATCAGGTTAGCAACTTATTCTCAAAAGTCTAGGGGGGAAGTACTTTGCGGTACTTGCAACTTTTCAGTAAGCTTGAGATTGTTTTAGAGAAGGAATATAAAACTCATAAATGCCCTCTCACAAAATGACACTGATTATATAAACTGACAAACTTTTTTCATAAATAACTTGGATAGTATGCATCAGAAACTTTTTAATTCTTACATTGCTTTGATTTTTGGCCCAATTAGTTTATCTCTGGAAATCTGGCCAAAGAAAATAATTCAAACACAAAATGTGTAATCTATAGAGATGTTAATTCCAGTATTATTTACAATAGTAAAAAACTTTAACCACTGAGAATTTTAATTAGTAGGAAATTTGTTGACCATTTATGCACATTAAAAAAGAAAACTCTATGCCACTGAAAACAACACAAATGTTTTGAATGACATGAAAAAAAGTTTATGCTGCACCACCTACAAAGAATATTTTGGAAATAACAAAATTACAAATATACATTCCTTTTCACCCAGAAATTTCAGTACCTGGATTTTATTCTGATTTACACACATATATGCAAAATAACATAGTGAGAGTTTTACACCACCACATTGTAATAACGAAAGATTTTATAACCACCAAGAGAAATTAGTTAGAAAAATTACAGTACATTTAGAAAATAGAATATTGTGCATTTGCAAAAAAATAATAAGGAAGCTCTTTATGTACTATTATGAAGGTCTCTCCACAATATTAAGTGAAAAGAGGAAGATGCAAAATGGAGCACTTAAAATCGGAAATATGCATAGACATACAGGTACCTCTGGAAGGACACACGAGAAAAGAAAGTACTAGCTGCCTCCAAGGAAGATAACCAGGTAGCTAAGGGAGATCTTTTGTACGATACACCCTTTTGTAATTTTTTTTACCCTGTGACTGTATTTTTTTAAAATAAATTAAGCTTAAAGTTTAAAATTTAACAATTTATAAAAACATGCAAAGAAATACACCAAACTAAGTAGCTTCCCTTTCTTTACAGTTTTATTATTTTTCAAATTTTCCATTGATCATATGTTTTTTAATCAAAGAATATATTACTTTAAAAATTGGTTGGATTAAAAATCATAGCTAAAACTATACGAAAACATTTTAAATTACTTTTTTTTATTCCTGCTATATCAGATTACCTGGAAAATATCAAATAGAAACTTAAAATACCCTAACCTTTCCCAAAGCATACTATTAAGCCACATTCATAGTCCTATTTTATTCTTCATGTTCAAAGATTTGTTTCACTGAATGGCTGAGACTCACAGATAATGCTAAGAAACAAAGACTCTCTGGCACATTAAAAAAGCCTTAAATTGACCAGCCGGTGTGGCTCAGTAGATTGAGCGTCTTCCTATGGATTGAGAGGTGCTGGTTCTATTCCAGGTCAGGGCACATGCCTAGGTTGTTAGCTCGATCCCCAGTAGGGGGTTTGCAGGAGGCAGCTGATTGATGTAGCTCTCTCATATCTATGTTTCTATCTCTCTCTCCCTTCCTCTCTCTCTAAAAAATCAATAAAAACATATTTTAAGAAAGAAAAAGCGTTTAAAAATAAGCAAATAAAAAGCCTTAAATCAACCAATGATGTCAAAATTTTCTCTCTCTGGCTTACTTTTTGAAGTTGAAGCTGCAAACAAACATCTATCCTATATGAGTAGTTAAACATGTGAGTTTAGGTATGTACTATCTCAGAGAGAGGTCAGCTATGTAGACAGAGTTCCTGTTCCCACTCCAATGTCAATGAAACCACGTGGGGCCCATGGAAGAGAGCCTCACTGTCATCATAGGCACATAGCCTGGCAAAACAGACACTTGAGCCCTGGCCAGTTTGGCTCAGCGGTTGGAGCATCGGCGTGCGGTCCCGAGAGACCCGGGTTCAGTTCCCGCTAGGGGCATGTACCTCGGTTGCAGTTTGTCCCTGGCCCTGGTTGGTCGTGAGGATGGCAACCACTCAACGTGTCCCTTTCACGTTGATGTTTCTCTCTCTGTTCCTCTCTTTCCCTCCCACTCTACCTGAACAAAAAATGGAAGAATGTCCTCGGGTGAGGATAAAAAAAAAAAAAACAACAAGGTGAAAAATGAGTCACATCCTAACAGCTAATGAAACAAACAAAGGAAAAATGAAAGAAAGAGTGGGCCTGGGAAGAGATTAGAAAAGATACAGGAAAAAAGATAAACTGCATGAGGCAGAAAGCTCCTCAGAGAGCCCAGATCAGCTAAGACTGTTCTGTATCTGGGTATGTATTTGGGAATCAGCTGTATGTTCTAACACAAACGCACACCAGCTTTGATTGGGTACAGGATTCATTCCACAGGAAGAAATAACCTTCTTTCTAAAAGCTGCTGCCTGATGTTATTTGAGTATGCCAGAGTAAGTGGCATGGCCAAGAACTGAAACCAGGTCTTAAAATGCTATGGTGTCTCTCTATCCTAAAAAATTAAGCCTATATCTTCACCTGGAATAGACCTTGATTTTTTTTTAGGTTAGAATTCTCATCATCATGACTGAAGTATTTTTTTCATCATAACTCCATTCTAAAAATGAAAAGGGGAGAGGGGGGATTAAGCACTGCTCATGTATTTTGCATCCAGGCACCAGGGCTCATGAAAAAAATGCCTTCTTTTTTTAAATTGAATTTATTGGGGTGACATGGGTAATAAAATTATATAGGTTTCAAGTGTACCATCCAAAGTCAAGTCTCTTTCTGTCACCATTTATCCCCCCCCTTTACCATCTTCTACCCCCCCACACCCCCATTTTCCTCTGACAATCATCATACTATTGTGTGTCTATGAGGTTTTTTTTCTTTTTTGCTTAATCTGGCCACATTTTTCACCCAGCCTCCCAGCAACCCTCCCCTCTGACAGCTGTCAGTCTGTTCTCTATATCTACGAATCTGTTTCTATTTTGTTTGTTAGTTTATTTTGTTCATTATACAGGCATCCCTCACCACTTCACGCTTCAACTTTTGTGGCTTCACTCTCACGGTTTTTTCAAATATATTCATTAAAAAGTTGATTGAGACAGTGAAATGATACAGCACACGCTCGATCGCCTGAGTCAATTATAACCCCTGTATTACAATTAAAATTAAAATTACTGTACATATGGACTGTAGGCCTATGTATTCGAGCACCCCCACAAATCCTTCAATGCCAGGTGCAACTGCTAGAGTCTGGAACGGATTAACCGCCATAAATGAAGGACAACTGTATTCCACATATAAGTGAAATCATATGGTATTGGTCTTTGTCTGACTGGCTTATTTCACTTACATAATAATCTCCAGGTCCCAAATTTAATTTCAACTTTGGTAGACAAAGGATACAAAGATATTTAGATTATGAACAGTCATATAGATGCTGAAACATTGCTCATTAGCATACACCATATTATTTGCAATAGGTGCTACTTGACCTAGTATCAACAATTTGGGTCCAGGGGAACAGATAAATCTATATCACTCTATGATTCTTCATGTCAATGTGTCTGCCTCAAAGAACAGAGGAGAAAGAAGTTATGCATCTGCATTGCAACCACTTCAAAATATTTTGCTTCTCTCTGCCAAATGCCCTTTTATCATTACCTTGCAAATTAATAGAAAAGTTATATTTCATTTTTTTTGTCAATAAAATGGGGAGATTTTATTGGAAACACCTTTGAAAGTGTTATCTTAATAAAGTTCATTTAAAAAGTCAAAACTGGAACTTTAAAAAGACAACACTAGCTTTAGATCTCAAAATGTTATCAAATTTATTTAAGAGTAGATTATATCAAGATTATTTCCAAATTATACTTTATATTAAATGATATGCACAGTGATTTTCTCTATACTGAGGCATCCCAATACCATCAACTCCCAATTTTCTGTGCCATAAAAATTGAAAATAGCTACTTTAAAAAAGAGTTAAATTTTATTTTAAAAAGTATTTTATAATTACACAGAAATATAGATGCTTCCAGCAATTCATAATTTTTTCTTTTATTATTATGTTTAAACATTTGACTTTGTAGAAATTTGCTGTTCAACTCTTGATTTGCTTGCAATTCTAAAACAAATATCAAATTATAACAGAACTGTACAGTCACTTAAACTTACTAATTCTTACTTATTTAAGAATAAAGAGGTCATTATTATTCTTTGTTGTTTTTACAATTGATACTGTTTATACCTGCTCATTAGTCGGCAAATATTCACTGATCAGGAAATAAACACCAAACACTGCCTAAGTCAGAAGTATCTGAACATAAAGAAAATCAGTGGTGAAATCCATTGAAAATATTTCAGTGGAGCCAATGCAACCAAAATGAAACCAGAAAAATTATTAATAGTAAGTTACAAATTATCATTAAAATAGCTAGTGAGTGGCACAGTTGGTTGACATCGTTCTGTGCCAGTTCGATTCCTGGTCAGAGCACATACCTACGTTTTGGGTCGATTCCCGGCAGGCACGTGCAGGAGGCAACCGATCAAGGTTTCTCTCTCTCTCCTTCCTTTTCTCTCTAAGTATGCCCTCCAGTAAGGATAAAAGAAAAATAGCTAGTGACGTCCTGGTATTGTTAAATACTCACTTGTAGTAGGTAGGAATTGCCTGGATCTAATAAGCTGACGGCTTCATTCTGCATTGTGTTCTGTTGTGTAACTGCATCTTCTCGTTTTCGCTCTTTCTGTCCCGCTTCATCATCTTCATATTCATCTAAGCACTGAAAGAAAGAGTAATTTCCATTTTATTTCACATAATATTAATAGAAAGTATATAAAGATACATTTGATAGTATTAAAGAAGTATTTGTGCATTCAGAAACTAATTTACACAGTAAAGGTGTTCCTTTCAGCAATATATACATTTAATTCCTATAAATTAAATCACCTGCTTTTACACCCAAACCTCCACATTCACACCCCTGCCAACGTCTTAAGGTTCTGTATCATTCATTCAACAAGTAAACAAAATGTGTCTACCTTAAACAAGGCACTTTTCAGAAAATAACAAAAGATACACCACAGTCATGAAATGTATAGTCTACAGGGAAGATAAGACATATACATAAAACATAATGATAAAGGCCACTTTCTAGCTTATTTGTACCTGTGCATATATACAAGAGCTTTTTGCCAGGGAGGTAAGTCTTCTATAAAGACTCTGTAGAAGAGCTTATAATTTAAAGGATGGGTATAATTTGAAACTGCAGATACAGAAAAAAAGAGAATTTCAAATGTTGGAAAGAGTACATGGAGAAACTCAGAAAGGATGTTACTAAAAAGCTAAATCAACACCAGCATTATCTATCTCTAGACTTTTTACTGGGGGGGGGGAGGGGACATCCCATAATCAGAAACAAAACTCTATCCATTACACCCATTGTAACTGAACACATTCCTAACCAATACACTACCCTAAAGGGTTCTGTGAAAGACAAAAAAATAATCAGACAATGTCCCTGCAGGCACTCTGCAAACACTAAGACACTGACCAAAGCGCAGAATGGCAGGAAAGACAACAGAACTTACAGATGCTCCAAAGAGCAAATAAAAAGACGGAGGCCACTGTGCAAACTAAGCAGGATCACTGAAGTGTCTGAAACAGGAGAAACCTAGTACATAAAGCAGCATATTCAAAGACACAAGGTCCACAATGGGGGATATGGAAGCTGAGACGTCTTAAATTAGGATGATGTGGGGAGAAAATCGGGGAAAGAACAGAAGGGGTAAATTAAACAAGCAAGCTGAGGTTCCAGAGAATGTTCAGGGTCCTCTCCTGTAATAAAACTGTGTGTACTGGTGTCATCTGGTCCCAGTAATGTAACCCACTAAGAACTGGGGATTAGATAACTGGTACAAGAAAAATGATGATACTGTGGCTACTGCAATTGCTGAGTAATAAACTGTCCTTGTCTCCGACCCAGAAGACTCGTGTCTTCTGCCAGGATTCATAAAACTATAGTAGGGTAACACGTCAGCTCTCAAGTAGGATAAGATCTCAGATCCTTAACACTTCTCCACAAAGAAACATAAATAACATAAATAGCCTGAGACGTCTGAACTTTCCACTCTACATAACATGGAAAGGTGTTATAGTGCTACAATTCCCTGGAATATAAGTGAGACATGATCAAACTGATTTTGAGAAAGGAACGTGTACACAGCAATTCACAGTACAGATTAGCATGGACAAGGACCAAAAGTGGAGAGACTAGCCTGGCCAGTGTGGCTCTGGGGTTGATTCAATTCCCAGTCAGGGCAAATGCCCAGGTTGTGGGCCCAATCCCCAGTGGAATGCATGTAGGAGGTGGCCAATCGATGTTCTCTCTCATCGATGTTTCTATTTCTCTCTCCCTCTCCCTTCCTCTCGCTAACATCAATAAAGACAAAAATTAAAAAACAAAAATTGGAGAGACTAGTCAAACAACATAGTAGGTACTGTGAGCCTATGAAAATGACATTTCCTAGGTAGAAAACAGAATCCAAAAGAGTATCATGTTTAATGGTAAAATATCAACAAAGTTTAAAAGCAAAATTAGACTTGAGACATTAATGTCCATTATGAATATAGTTGTTAACATCGCTCTAGAAGAACTATCAGATAAAACTAGGTTAGAAAAATAAGTGACTCCAGCATTAGAAAGAAGGCAAAACTTCAGATGATACAATTCTGTCAAGAACATAACCTAAAAATATTTTAGAATTATTAGAGCTACATAAGATGATTTTTCAATAAGGAAGCATAAATAAATAACTTTCCAAAGTAACATCAATAGCCAAATACAATATATAATTTTGTTGTTGTTGTTAATCCTCACCCAAGAATATTTTTTCCATTGATTTCTTTAGAGAGAGTAGAAGGGAGGGGGGAGGAGGAGTGAGAGAAAGAGAGGAGAGAAAGAAGAGAGACAGACAGACAGACATCGATGTAAGAGATACATTGATTGGTTGCCTCCCACACGCAGGGGATTGAACCTGCAACCCAGGTAAGTGCCCTTGACCGCGACCCTTTTTTCTGTGGGCCGACACCCGGCCAGAGCAAATTATATAATTTTAAAAGTAACCATAAAAGTAAACTAAAACATACTTTATTAAAAAAACTATAAAACTTTACTGAAGAATATAAATTAACCTATTCTTAAATTGAGAAAAACTTATTATGGAGATGTCAATAATCTGTAAATCAACTTACAAACTGAATAAAAATGTCAATCAAAATCTTAAGAGGATTTATTTGGAAAGTAGGGTGGATCATCTGGATGTACGAATACATAAGATATCCAGAAAAATTACTTAAAAAGAGTTTATGACAGAACACTCACTCTGGTTAACATTAAAATGTATAAAACCAGCCCTGGCCAGTGTGCCTCAGTGGTTAGAGAATCAGCCAGCAGGTTCTGTCCTGAGCTCTGGTTGGGACACATCCAGGAAGCAACCAATTGATGTGTCTCTCTTACTCACTGATGTTTCTCTCACTCTCACTCTCACTCCTCCTCTCTTCCCCACCCCCACTCTAGTCTCCTAAAAAAAAAATGGAAAAAATATTCTTGGGTGAGGATTAACAAAAACAACAAAAGTAGAAAACCATAATAATTAGGACTGTATGACAGAGGTCCTAGAACAGAAAAGAAAATTAATAAAGGAACTTGTCAGTATATAGTACTGAGATGAGAATTAACCATTTAATGTACGGCGGAGGCTGAGCAACAAGAATATAAGACCTGAAGAGAATAAAGAGTGGTCTCATCTCGTCCTCTGCTCTATGAAAGCAATCACCCCTTTCCGCAGTACCTGGATTGCAAAAATCCCTGACTGTAGGATTGACGTCAGTGAAAGTTGAAGCAGGTAGCCATGAACTCCCCGAGCCAGGGATGTTTATCTTTGTTTTCATTTCTAAGGCCCAGCTCTTCAACACTAACCTTCCCTTCTTTCACTCCCTCAATAAATAGAGACTTCCTTCCCAGCAGCACTTTAAAAGAAAAAAAATCTTCAGTAAATGTTTGATAAACAAATGAATGAGTTACCAAGACGAGACAAGAGATGGAACGTGGTGCCCCAAGTTAAAATTCTGAATGCTCTTTTCCATGCCACACCGTTACCCACTGACCTGGGAACCTCTTCATCACACATACTATCTCTGTGGAGAATGTGCATGTTACATCCCAGGCAGCTTGAAGAGCAGGGATTACTTGATGAACCACAACTTCCCTCTGAAATTCTTCTAGCAACCAGTACAGTTCTTTTAGAAACAAGCATTCTAAAACTCTTTATGCTATTTTATATAACTAGACTAAAAAAACCTAGATGAACGATTTGAAAGAAATGGTGAGATATATGAAATGAATGAAAGCAAGAGATCTGAGTTAATGGACAAAGATGAGCAAAAATATTTTCTATTTCTGTTTTTGGAAAGATTAATAATTCTCTAAGCACACAGCTGACTGGTATCCTTAAGGGAGAGAGTTGTTTTCAAATAAGTACTAGCAAAAGAGAACCAAAAAGAAGCCTAAAGGCTTTTTAAAGTTTTTTTTATGAATTATAAGCTTTTTATATCTAAAAGGAGGGGATGAAAAGAAAACATAATGATTTTATATTATACTTATATCAATAATGCAGGACTGAATTCCCTCTCTTCGTAGCTCTCATTTCTAAATAAATGTAAACATGGAAAAGTTATTCTCTCCTTTTACGTGGATTAGACAGAAAGTTGCATGAGAAGTGGGTTAACAAGTATTTGAAATGGAAATAAAGTCACTAAGAATATATAAAATAAAGATAGATGTAGTCCCTATTGGCAAAAAAAAGAAATAAAGTCATATTTTACCAAATAACTTTTAAACACAGATGATAATAAGCATCACTAGATTTCATCGAGCTCTGCTTTTCCCTAAATTGCATTTTAGAGCGCTTATGTTTTAACAAAAACCTCTGAAAAAAGTTATGATTTTCACTGCTAAAAGCTAATGTTGAAAAAAAAAGAGAAGCTATAATATGCTCTAGAATAATTATTCAAATCATTGCTACAGATCTGATAAAGTAACCAAATAAAAAGGAAATTAAGGTATCTTTAAAGTCCTATTAGTTAAGACTCAAAAAACTAATTCATAGGAATAGGATAAAACATTTAGAAATAGATCCAAATGCATAGACAAATTAGGTTTATGATAAAAGTGGAAACACATCAGTGGGAAAAGATGAACTTTTTATATGTGGTTTGGGGATAATTGGATGCTATACTAAAAAATGACATTGGAGTTATTCCACACACCACATACCAGGATAAATTTCAGTGCATCATTAAAAATAAGCAAAAATTTGAAGACATTCCACCAAAGAAAACACAGGGATGGCAAAACAACACAAGAAATAAGGTTCAGACTTCCGGTCAAGATGGCGACGTAGGGAAACGCAGTATCGCGTTCTCCCACAACCACATCCAAGTTACAACAAAACTACAGAACAACCATCATCCAAAACCGCCTGAAATCAAGCTGAATGGAAGTCCTACAACTACGGAATTTTTAAAAAAGGCAGCTACATCCAGACTGGTAGGAGGGGCGGCGGCGCGAGGGGTGGCGGCAGCGGCACGGCGGCGGCACGACGGGCTGGTCCCACACCCAAGTGTGGCGGATAAAAATCAGGAGGCTCCCGAGGCTGGGAAGGTCCTTCCTGAGGACTGAGGGGTCCCCGTCCCACACCAGGTGCCCCGCTCAGGTTTCCA